CCCACGCAAGCACGAGGAGAACATGCAGACTCCACACAGAAAGACCCCAGGTCCGAACCGTGTGAGACGTCGTGCTGCCGTGATGAAAATCAATTGTGTGAATAGAGAACTTCAATCCCCAAAAAACATTCAAGGACAAGTGTAATTTTTGGCTGTTTTCACAAACTTTGAAATCACTTTTTCATATTCACAAACTTTCAAGGAATTCAAGGGCCCGAGGGAACCCTGATAATACAAAATGAGTCAGTTCTAATTGTACATTAAAGAGCAATACCCCCTCCAAGACAAACAGGATATGAGCATGTTCTCTTACACACTGTGAATTTAATCATCACATTTTGCTCTAAGAGCTTTTGACAGGTCAAACTCCGGCTTTGAGAAAATAACCACAGACACACCAGCATAAAAAGGCATACCTGTGAGTGTTTGCCTTTTAGAAATGTATTCCACAAACCAATGAGTGGATTTTTATGAAACTCTCTAAAATCAATAGTTGTTCTCCCATTAGAAATGGGTCAAAGAGGTGTAACACTGGGTTTAACTCTGTCTCAGAGTTTGATGGATTGTAAACTTCGTTGGCGGTGCCGTTGTGCTATGAACTCAGGGGGGGTGGGGTTTGGCAGAGTTTAGTCTTCTACCAGTTAGGTATAAAGGTTCAGTGTGAGGGGTCTTACAGTGCCCCCTTCCTTGTTTTTTTCCTCCTTCTCGTAGCAAAGACATTAAATCAACAAACTCTCAGTCAGTAGACAAGAACAGCTTTGAGTGTCCTTTTTGTTGATACAGACCTGATTTTACTGTCAATYCTACATACTTTGTTTTACATCTGTTTAAATAACTCTATAAGGTGACAGTCTTTAAGAATGATAAAGATAACATTTATCCCAAAAGTGTGAAAAGAAGCCCCAAAATGTGGTTGCAGATGTTTGACAGGTAAGTTATGTGCACATATAGGAGTGTGTGACCTCCAGCGTTTTATAACCTGCCTGTTAGAAGACTTTTTTAATCTCACAAATTATAGGAGCTAAGGGACCAGAATACCCCTATTTTCTGCCAGATGTTGAACTGAATATTAGGCCTGTGTGTGTGTGTGTGTGTGTAGTGTGTTTGTGGGAACGGACTACACCCATCGCCTCTGTGAGTATTAGATTTAGTATAAAGGTGAACGCAGAAGGATGCCTGTGCATGCATGTGTCTAATTTTTGCGTGCCTTTACGCATTTTTATCCCTTGTTTCAACMCACTCCACATCATTAGCAAACAACAAAAGTTTTCCAAAAGTGGCGTGTGTGAGGGAGCCTGTGTGTGTGTGTGCGTGTCACGCAGCCAACATGTGGTTCAGATTTCCTCTGAGGCCACATAGGCAAATACACAGAAAGGCAGAGAAGTTAGATCTCAGTTGGAAGCACAATAGTCCCACTCCAAAACACTGCTAAACCAGCACATGATTCTCCTTAATGTGCATTCTTAAAAATGATGCTTTCATGTGTTTCAGTTCATTTTTGTGTGTATAGTGTTATTTGATTAAATTTTAATTAAAGTCTAAAGGGGAAAGAGATATGTACACTATTCTTACCCATGCTCATCTTGACGGGCAGMTTCTCTTTACTGGCCGCCTCCACCAGGTGCCGACGGACCTCCATCACCGCCTCTTTGTGTTTACTGGTCAGCATGGCCTCCCACAGTGACAATGCTGTTGATGACCTGATGAGAATGGCAATGCAACAGGTGTGTTTAGGCTTGAGGTAGGGTTGAATTTGCTTTGTTTATTAGTGCTTGCAGGAGAAATGAAAGTAGTAGAGGTGTAAGAAAATATCAATACACTGAAATATCGCAACATTTTATTTCCCGATACTGTATCGATATTCTAAAGACCTGTATCAATTTTTAATTAAGGTTTGAAATGTCAACTTTCCTGCCAGCCATTCATTTTTATGTTGTAGTTCAGTCTCTGACTGCTGGTTGGCAGCAGTGAGCCAGMCATTGGGCTCCTCTACCTCTTGAGTGCCAGAGAGTAAGGGTAGGTAGCATTACCATTGTGAGTAAACATTAGCTTCATGCTCCGATAACTGAATATGAGTGGAAAAGACAGACACCCTCTGCCTTCTAAGCTGAGGTAAGGTTAAAAACAGTTACTTATTTGTCAGAATGTCTGTATTTTAAGCCAAATTAAGTGTTTTGTGTGCTCTTTTTTCCAACGTTACGGAAGGCAGGAAGGCAGGCATGCATATATAGCGCATGCGTCTCCCCCCCATGAAATAAAACTCTGTCTGTTGCTCTCAATGTCCGGCTGATCGCATCAAAGTCCATATACTTTAAGTTTATCCTGCTGTGTTCGCTTCAAAAATGGTTTAACTGTGTTGTTTAGCTTCTCCATTTAGTTACTGTTTATTTTCAGGATCTGCCCTGCTGTTCGACCCACAGTTATACAAATCAGGTTCTGGATGCAGGTCAGCTGATCCCAGAAACTCTCTGTGCAGCAGCTTCATATCATCTGTTTACTGAACTTTATGACAACATATAGGCTACTGTTAAGTGTTGGGTGACCATTTTTTAAATTAATATTAAAAACTAAAAGCTGCAAAAACATATATTTTCAAACTATTTATTGGCAAATTTAGTCTAATAATTGAAAACATGGATGAGATAAGAAACATGAAACAATTAAAATCAAATACATACAGAGCAGAACACAGCTAAATGTATCAAAAGTATGTCTATGTAATATTAGAATTTTCTGAGACAATGAATTTTGGTTTTTCTTTTTTTTTTCCAGTACAAGGTTTTTATTTAATAGAATTTTTGGACAAAAAAATTGCAATATATCACAATATATCAGGATATATCGTATCGTGACCCCTCTGTCATATGTACCATATCGCCAAATTCTTGCCAATACACAGCCCTAGACAGTAGCAGTGTTTGTGCAGAGTGAACACAGGTTCTTGCACAAACACAAAAGGACAATACAGGCATGATTGAACGCACGCCTTACTGATAGTGACCCCGGYGGGACGGCTCAGATGAAAATTGAAATTAGCAGAGGGAACATTAGGAATGTCTGCAGTCTGTGTGTCAATATTCCTCAGAAAGGATTAGTGATGTCCTTACATCAGAGTTAGAGTCTAACAGTTTGGAGACCAGCACATCTCCTTGGAGCCATCACAGGACACACCTCGGTCCCTCATCTCATTAACCACAAGGTTATGAAACAGACAGATCCACATCTCAGAGAAAACAAGACAATTACCATCTGCCATTAGAAAAACAGCTTTCCAAAACACAATCAAATCATGTCGCTGAGGAGTCGTATCAGAAAATCCATAGATGGCAGATTTGTTGAAAGGTATCAAAATTTAAGCTACAGACACATCTTGTATCTCACTCTTAATAGGTCTTTTTTTCAACCTTCTTAAAGTCACTGACACTTTGTTTGAATATAACGACTCTGATACACAGAAAACAGAAATGACAGAGATGATATTTTTACTCTTAGGAACTCAAAATTGCACAGACAGAAAGAAACAAAAGGGGAAAAAAACAACTGAGAACAAAAAAGAAGTGGGGAGGTAGGAGGGATCTCATTGACATAACTATTCTGTTTTTCTTTTTTGTCTTTTTTTCTCGCCTTTTCTCCTTTCTAACTGCTGCCATGTGTTTAATATCAGCTGTAATCGGTTCCAGATCTCGGGCTGTGAAGCAGTGGGCTCACACTGGGACGCCCACCATCCTCACACCAGAACAAGACGCTACAGCTTACAAACACAATGCACCTCCAAGAAAAGCTTGGTTTAATGTAAACAATATTGTTGTGGGGTAAAAAGGCTAAAAATATCAAATAAATTATGTTTTTATCAACAACTGTTTGTTCAAGTTGAGCAATAAATGAATTAATGCACTTTGACTATTAGTCAAAAACTTCGGGTCATTTTATTCAAACACCCCCCCTTGTGTTTAATGATGTATGATAAAACTATGATTACACAAATCGTRAAATTCCCACATTTGCAATTGCTGAAATACCAAAAGTGTCATTTGACCGAGACTTTTGCAGGCGGTCCTGAGTGAGTTTGTGTCTAAGGATGTGTTCATGCGCACATCTGTACATGTTTGCACACAATCCTGCAGATCTGTGTGTGTTCTTGCACGTTGGAGGGGCTCTGACAAGTGTGGATGAAACATAGTTCTCATTTGGCTGTTTGCCCCCCACTGCCCCTCCTCTGCTCCCCATCCTCCAGCAATAACGATGGCTTGCACTCCCATGCCTAAGTCAATTGGTCAGTGTGGGGTGGGAGAGTGTGAGAGTTGGGCTGAAGGCCAGGAGGGCTGAGGTTTATATTGACAGGGTGTCAGACGGGCTCTTTAACCAGTCCGAAAAGTTGTTGAGAAACGGCTCAACTCTGGGACGGGTGGGCAGTGTGAGAATTTGGTTTGCGTGTGCTTGGCCATCTGCACGGTTGTGTTTTAAGTTCTGAGTGCAGATTTCTTCTTCTTTGTTTAAAAAGAAAGATACTCCTCAGACTTACTGGTGGGGGCACTCTTGCACTGTAAGAGTGTCATCTTGAATTAGCTCTGATAAGCTGAGCTGGTGTGTGTGGAGAATGTGGACAAATTYAATTTCACTGGGCGTGTAATGAGTGTTGTACCATTAAAAAGCACTTAAAACTYAAATGCCAGGACTTAAAAGGACAATAAGTGCAATATGTTAAGAAAAAGAGAGCATATGTGTACCGTCCAAAGTACCTTCTCAGTCATTTAGGAACAGGGAAGAGGGGGGAGGGGGGATTATGCCCCTGACAGAATGTAATGCAGAGGAGATTAATACAATTATASTCGAGTTTTCTTCCATTTAACCCTAATCCTGTTGCTCCTTTCACACTGGGGTTGGGCAAAACTGTATTGTGTACAAATAATTGTCAGTAAAATTGTCAACAATTAATATTTGACACTTTGCAATCACTGCAATTAGTACCATGTCAGGATGTACTTTTGTGTACAACACACTTTCACTATCAGGTGTGCATGTGAGCCCAGTGGCGTAAGGCACAGTAGAGCTAACCCTAACCCTACGAACGCGTTTAATCACCTGAAACATCAACATAAACCAAAGTACGAGGAAAACCAGATAATGCTAACCAAGGACACAATGTCAGTCACATGCAAGTACGCTTATCATCCATTGATTGTCATATTCAGTCAGATTGTAGTGTAAAGCACTTTGAGTGTCCTGGATGGATAGAAAAGCGCTATATAAGTAAATGGTAAAATGGTAAATGGTACTGAACTTATAGAGCGCTTTTTCAAGTCCCTCCGGACCCCAAAGCGCTTTACACTAACAGACATTCACCCATTCACACACACATTCACACACTGATGATGGCAAACTACACTGTAGCCACAGCTGCCCTGGGGCACACTGACAGAGGTGGGGCTGCCATGCATCGGCGCCACCGGACCCTCTGACCACCATCAGTACCATATTATCATCATCGATTAAATGCCACAATTAACTGTGATAAAATTTTATGTAAATTTTGCACCGCACACTTTTGAGGAGGCAGAGTCTAAAGACTTGAGGGAAGACGAGTCCATTACCACAGCAGAGGGGCAGCTGTAGCAGAGTGGTTAGGGGAGTCGTCCTAGAACCAGAAGGTCGCCGGTTCGATCCCCCGTCCAGCTGTCTCAGTTGTGTCCTTGGGCAAGACACTTCACCCCTAATGCCTCTGATGTGTGTCCCATCAGTGAATGAATGTGATTGGCACTGATTAGTCTCCAAAGATGATTGTACATGTTAGCTTTGTAGAGACCTAATAGAGTGCTGTGTGAATGGGTAAATGAGGACACAGATTGTAGTGTAAAGCACTTTGAGTGTCCTGGATGGATAAAAAAATGCTATATAAGTACAGTCCATTAACCATTTACCAAGGTAGTCAGGAAGCTCTTTGGTGGCAGGGTGCCAGGAGTGGACGAGATTCGCCCCAAGATGCCGAAGGCTCTGGATGATTGTGGGGCTTCTTGTTTGACAAACTTCTTTAAATGTCAAATGAAGGCTACTTTAGTTTGTCAAATAACTGTATAGTTTGATTGTATGTTATATGCAGTACGAATAGACATAAAATTTCTAAATATTATTGTAAATATGGCTAAAACATTTTCTGCAAACTGCATGAAAATCAGAGTTTGAATTTCAATTCAGAGCTCCTGAAGGTGACAGAGCGTGTGTGAYGTCCTCGCTCCTCATTTGATTACCTGAAGAAGCAGCTTTTGTTTTTAAAGTTTTACGCAAGTCTGTGGACTTGAAACTGAACTCAGAACTCAGCGCAGTCATGACTGAAAACATCCAAACTTCTATCTACCAATGAATCAAATGTATTCTATCAAGATGCAAAACATATCAAATTCATTTAAAAAGTGTTCTAGTAGTTAGTCACTTGATAAGTGGCAAAATGGACTGTACACCTTTCTATCCAACCAGAATATTCAAAACTCTTTACTAGCTGTCCTCATTAACCCATTCACACACATTCATTCACACATATTCATTCAGCACTCTACTAGGTCTCTACAAAGATAATACAGATAAATCAATCTATAGAGACAAATCAGTGCTTTAAATCACATTCATACACTGATGGACACACATCAGCGGCATTGGGGTTCAGTGTCTTTCCCAGGGACACTTCAACATGTGACTGAATAGTGGT